TTAGGTCGCCACTGTTAAATAAACATTACTTCGGCGAAACCCCATTCAACGCGTCTACTCCTTATCTATCAAATGCCTCCATTTCCTCGGAGATAGTCAAACATCATCTTCCCAATCTTCTAGTAGCTCCGCCCTTGGCCCTTTCTTGCGCCTGTCTCGCCTTCATCACTGTCCCACAGAAGCTCTGGAACAGCCCCCAGATATGGTCGTCGACCGACACCAATGCGATTATATTATTCACCGCAAACGTGCCAACAACAACATTCTTCAGAGTGGTAAGGCTCAGTTGCATTCTTCAGAGTGGTAAGCTTTTCAGTAAGGCGTGCTCAGGCGATCATCCAGACACGCATCGCAATCCCAACATTTGTCAACGTTTTCCTTGTTAATCTTAACCCTATACGTGTTGAATATTCCATGTCCAGTCAACAGCTGCATGGTATAGTGATCGATATTTCTCTTCCTCTTCCGGAAGGTGACTGCGTCCTCAATCAACCCATTTGTTCAATTGTTCGCGTTGCACCTGGCCCACTCATTTCTCAACTCGTCCACGGCTTTCTCTCCGTAAAGATGGAGCTGATTGAGGAGCACTTCTGGATCGCCGAAGTCTGGTCGAGCTAGTTTCTTCCTAACCTCGTAAATTCTCCCTCGCCACCGCGCTCTGATATGAATAGGCATGGTCCCCGTCAACACGCACAACGCCGCATGCGAAACCGTTCTGTAGCCCGTAGAGGTACTCATCAAAGCACTCCTCTGTGTCCTGCAGAGTTCGCCTACTGTCTTGACCTTCCTAAGGGCATCCACCCAGACCGGGCAGGCATATAGCACGACCGATTTCCATACCCGATAGTACAACTTCCTACAGGTGTCGGAGAGGCCGTTCACATTCGGCGGGAGCCCTCTGATGGCGCTTACATTCGCGTCCGCTCTACAAACTGCTTCGACGTGTTCACTGAATTTCCTTTCGGACTCCGACACCACGCCTAGGTATTTAACACTTTCGCGTGTGATAAGCACCTCTCCTGTCAAAGTTATGTTAAAATTCTTTGGAACTCTCACACTCGTCAATAAAATGATCTCAGTTTTATCCTTTGCTATCTGGAGATCGGAATTTTCACACCATTTTAGGATGGATGGAGAATCTTCATATGGAGGTTTAAGTTGACCTCCACACTTTCCTTCTTCTTCAGACCCACCAAGATAGCAAGGTCGTCCGCAAATGCAATAGCTCTTAGATTGACACGGTTGTCAAATCTGGTCAACAGGCCATCGTAAACTAAATTCCACGAAAGCGGACCTAGCACAAACCTGTGGGACACCCGCAAAAATTTGTTTAACGATAAGACCACTCAGATTGTCTAGAACTACGAAACGGTCCTTGAGGTAATTCGCGAGAACCCTCGTCAGATTATAGGGCAGCTTCCTGAGCTTCGCCCCTTTCAGGATTATCTCCCTCAAACCTGGTTAACAGGCCATCGTAAACTAGGTTCCACAGAAGCGGGCCTACCACACAGCCCTGTGGAACACCAGCAAAACTTTGCTTCACGATAAGTCCACTCCGGTTGTCGAGAACTACGAAACGGTCCTTGGGGTAGTTTGCGAGAACCCTCGTCAAATTGAGGAGGAGACTCCTACACTTCGCCTCTTTCAGGATTATCTCCCACCGCAGGGAATTGAACGTCTTTTTAACATCGATGCACAGGATGACGCAGACAATGCCCTCCTTCCTGCAAGAATCGGCGAACTTGCAGACCTGCGAGATGGCACCGATGGCACATCTTGCGGAACGAAAATTAATTTCGGTAGAACGGGTCCAATCCCAGTTCCTTCTCAAGGGCCGACTTGAACCTGTTATTCCAAACATTGCTCATCGCCGGTAGGATACTTATTGGTCGGTACGACGAGACCAACCTGGGATCCTTTCCCCCGTTTGTTTAGCAAGATCAGCCGGGCCACTTTCCATTTTGCTGGAACTCACCCCGTCTCGTAGATAGAATTCACCATGGCGAGCAGTTCCTGTGTTCGATGCTCGAATATCAGTTTAATGACTGATCCCGGAACCCCATCGATACCAACGGCCTTGTTAACATTCAGCCGGCCAACCGCTGCTCTTACCTCGTGGAAGACTACTAGCCGGTGGCTCTTTGGGCCGCCAACGCTCGCTGCGCTCTTCTCCTACTCTTTAAAGTAGCGCTCCTTAACATCGCAAGCTCGCTGTTCCACCAATGATTGGTGCTCCTTCTTCCACGCGACGGGTACCTCTTCTTAAGTTCCACGACACACGTACGCTCCAAGTTCTTCTGCAGTCGATCTCCGCATGCCGTCTCGTCAGATTTTAATACATTATCGTTAAAATTATTATCAAATTTATCTAAAAATCGCTCCTGATCCATGCCTTTCGTCATATACTTAAAGCCCCCTCCTACCGCCCGCTTAACATTATACGCAAATGTGTGAAGTAAATAAAAATGATCAGAGGCCGAGTACCAGTACAAAACGGTACTCCTCCTCCAACTCAGCCTCATTCGTCGATTAACACTCAATATATCCGGGAAAATAGTCCTTCTATTTCTCAAGAAGGAATAGTTTCCCATCGTCTTGATCGGTAAGAACTCATTTTTAGTAATCACGTCTAGTAGGCATGTTTCCCTCGGCTCTGTCTTGTTGCATCCCCCTCCCCTCCGATGATTTGGCATTAAAGTTACCGGCCACCATTAGTGCCGGAGCCCTTCCTCTGCCATCCTTTGGTACCCCCTCTAATTCCCTTACGTAGGCATCAAAATCATGCCTATTCATATTAGGGGAACAGTACCCACTGGCGCAATATAGCTCATCCACTAACTCCTACAATCCCTTTTTTACGAATTAGGGTGTCACTTCTCGCATGTCTACCGTCAAATAGGGTGGCCCAAATGGATGCAACCCCACTCTCGTCATTAAACCAGTAAGGAAACTGACTATAGGACTCGGAGATGACCACTATGTCCACCCTGTTTTCACAAACGTACTGCATCATCAAGTCTTGCGCAAGCCTACATCTATGTAGATTAATCTGAATGATCCTAGTTGGGCCCCCGTCTAATGTTTCTAACCCCTAGGCACACCACGCCAACGAACCAGTTATATGCTTTACGTTCACACTCCCATACCTCGTACATATGGCACATCTAGGTTCTTCGTTGCACTCGCTCATAACATGTTCTACACTTCCACATCTCCTACACAATTTCCTGCCAGAACATGTTACCGTGAATTTCGCCGCCACGTGCCCCAACATATGGCACCTAAAGCAGCGCTGCACATTTGTCAATTGTCTCACCGAGGCTACAGTCAACCCAGTTTTCAGCCTCCTGTCTATCTCATCACTGGAAACTGCGATCGCAGGGAGTACCACGACCGCCACCTGCGTGCCCCATGGTGTCATACTTCAATATCGGACCTACCACCAATGGTAGGGCTCCTCAGAATCTTCCCACTAGGCTCAAAGAGAAGCCTCCCTCGTCCCTCCTAGTCCTTGGTACAACCGATATGGTGACGTTGTCACTTATTCTGACGTCCGACACCATCCTTGGTTTCTCCCTACTAATCGCCAACCTCTTGCTGTTCGCCTTTGCCCCAGTCGCTGTTACTGTACAAGGGGCTGCCTGGGGTTCCACCTCCCCCCCCCCCCCCCGTATTAAACCAACTTCAATCATCCGTGAAGCGCATCCCACCGCTGCCACCAAAATATTTGCTATAAGTTAATATGTTACGTATTAGTTTATTGACATCGATCAAATTTTAAACTTAAATTTTACTGAATTTTTTTTTTTGTTTGAGTTTGAATTTAATCGAAAGGGAAATAAATTGAAATGATATTATTGTGTATGTAATACTGATTTAAAATTCTAATTAATGCGGTAGTTGCTGCCACCAGGAATAGTCTAAGGACTATTTCAAAATATTTTATTTTTATTATTTTTCTTTTTACGTTTAATGGGTAGCGTTAACTGACGCTTAATGCAACTGGTAAACGAATTCCACTTTTCGGCTAACCTGCTATGTGCAGGGATACTGGCACGGGAGAGGATTAAAGCTGGGGACAATAAATATTTGTCCTCGTTGAACGGATTTTTATTTGAATGTAGAATTGCTTAAATTATTACCTTTATATATATTTTATTAGCCATATATATATATATATTTTAGCGTTGCTGGATTGGATAGGAATGTGAGATTTTTCGTTGTTTTATATAAATTTATTTTTACGTTTGACTTCTTCTTCTCTTTTAATTTCGCT